TAGTTTTATTTCATGATAAAATTGTGTATGGTAAGCATCACATTGTCTTCATACAAACCTCTTCAAATGAGATTACAAGATTTGGCATGTGTTAATATCTCCTCACTAGTTTACTAGTGGCACACTTTGCACAATTACTACATTTGTCATAGATAAGGAAGAAATAAGCAAGGCACTGTGTTAGTTTCCAAGTTAGCTAACTGCTTTCACTAAGTCCATTTTCCCTAGCAGTAATCCATTAAGCATTCTTTTTGTTAGCACGAATTTATAAATTGATTTTCCCAGAATGTAAGCTACTTTCTTAAGTAAATTTAAGGACATGGCGGTTATGTCTGTTCTTTTTTCCTATCTTTTTCGTTTTAGTTTTCTGGAACATTGATTAGATATTCTGTGGCATCACACAGTCCCCATGAATATTAACAAGATACAGTCAGTCATCCACATGTGTGGCTTCTGTATCCACAAATTTAACTGAGTGTAGAAAGAAAATATTTGGTAAGGGGAAAAAATCTGCCTGTACTGAACACGTATAAACATTTTCCTTAAATAGTACAACTGAGGGGCTGGAGAGATGGCTCAGCCATTAAGAGCACTGACTGTTCTTCCAGAGGATCTGCGTTCATTTCCCAACACCCACATGGCAGCTCACAGCTGTCTGTAATGCCAAGATCTGGCACCCTCACACAGACATCCATACAGGCAAAACACCAATGTACATAAAATAAGGATAAATTATCAAAAAATATTTTTAAAAAATAGTAAAACTGAACAAATATTTATGTAGCATTTACATTTTATTAGCCATCGTAAGTCATTGAGAATTGACCTAAGCTGTAAACAGAGATGGCTAGATTTCATGCAAGCTCTTTTTTTCATTTGAATTAGAAACAAGATTGATTTACATGACAATCCCAGTTCCCTTCTCCCTCCCTTCCTCCCCTACCACCCCCAACTAAAACCATACCTATCATATACCCTTTCTTCTATTCTTCACCTGACTCAAACTTTCTGCATGCAAGTTCTATAGTGTTTTGTACAAGGTCCAGAAGCAACTAGAGAATTGGTGTGGTGGAGCACCACATCCAATACCTCATGGATTCAGATGGATAATGGTTTCCTTATTCCCAAAGAATTTTTTTTAAATAAAAAATTGGATAGATTCAGTTACCCTATTAAGATTCAAGACTTTTTAAACTATGATACCTCATAACATTAAAATATATGTGCATCAAATATGACCTATCATAAGTATTCTTCTTTCTAACTAGTGCTCAGTTATCAGGTGCAATTGATTTGAAATTTTCAGGCGTTTGAAATGGATATTAGAAATGTTCTGCTTATTAGAGGCCTGATAGTACTGATAGTATTTACAAATCAGTTGAGACAGCAAATGTGAATAGGGTTCAATTCTATAAACCCAAATATTGAAATTGACGCTTTTCAAATTTTATAATTTTATAGTTGTTTATAAATGTTGCCACAATTGATTCCTGTTAAAATTGTCCAATAGGTTCATATGTAATTATTTTTCACTTTCCTCAAGTTTCTTGGAAATGTGATTCCTTTTTTTCAAAGAAAATAATGAGAACATTAAATCTTATGAAGGCATTTTTAAAATATGTAGATAAATGGAATTTCAGTCTTGTATGAAAAGAAATCTGTGCCTGAAATGGCTGTTATGCAGTACCTCATGCACCCTTCATGTAGGATCATAAATATGCCTGCTTTTCTAAGTAATTCAGAAAAGCTGGGTTTTTCTTTGCTTTCTTCTACTTTTCTTTACCCATGGTTTCCTTTCCACTTTGGGCTTTCTTCCCAATATGCCATGCTTCCTTTCTCTTTCTCTAAAGTTTCTCCTATTGCCATGTGGCTACTTGTCTGCCATGTGTCTGACCCCCATGACATAATTAAATTGGAATGGACTTTCCTCTATTCTCTGCCTCCAGGCAGCTGCTGAGACTTTACATCTTGTCTGACTTCTGGTTTTTCTTTCAAACTCTAATAAAATTGTCTTTTAGATTTAAAGAAAAAGAAAGAAATTATGATTCTATTATCCCATAGGAAGTGAAGAGCTGTAGTACAGAAGCTAAGTAATGTTGAAAGTAAAAAAAAAAAAAAAAACATTTAATGGACAGTTGACCTGTGATATTACATATGAAGGATATATGTAAAATTGTATTTTTAGTTTCAAATGAGCATAGTATGTTTGCTAAAGAAACATGTGAACTTAAAAATAGAACACCTATATGGCATATATAGTTATAAAACAATATTGTTAACCAATTCATTCTGTTTTTATTATTATTTCTTTCTTGTTCTCAATCTTCTATAAATTTGTGTTGTATCTTTCAGAGCACCTGAGTTCATTTGTCAGGTGGCTCAAACCCACCTGTGATTTCAGTTCCACATTTTAGCACTGTTTGATCTGAAGACCCACAGACACACAATGTGTTTTCATCACATGGACTCTCCCTCTCACCCTACAACTCCTTCCATACCCCACATATCTTTGGAAAATTTCAAGTCTTCTTCTTCCTCCCCTCTTCCTTCTCCTCCTCCTTCATGAATTAACTCCAAAATGCTACCTATATGTGCATGAGTGGAGGGCCATCACTGGAGCATTAGCAGCTTGCCAAGTACCACAATTCTGAAGACAACTGACCTCACTTCACCTCAGCAGCCATCATCTTCTTCCATCCCTCTTGGAATTTTATCTGGTTGGATCTTATGCAAGTGTTATGTGAGGGCCCACAACCTTGATCATGATTGACATGGCCCTCTTGCATCCAAAAGACACCTCATTGTAGCATTCCTTGACCTTACAACTCTTCAGCTTTTTTCTGCTTGTTCTTCTCTTAGCCTTAGGCAATGGGATGTGATATAGATTTCACAGTGGAGGCTGAGGAGGCTACTATCATTTCTTCTCTGTACTTTGTTCAGTTGTGAGACTTTGTAATAACTTCTTCCCAATGAAAGAGTGCTGCTGCATTATGGGCATAAGGGTAAATATTTGACTTTTTTTTCTTTATATTTGTTTTTGTTAAAGTTAAAACTTTTGATTGACAATTTTTTGATGGCACACAACATAAGATTTTGATATATGCAAATATAGTGGCATGAATTAACCACATTAATTATCAGTTATAAGCTTTATCTTGATCCTCTTATTTTGGAGTGAGAATTCTTAACATCTGCTCTTAGTAATTTGGCTGTTTGTAATGTATTGTTATTATCTGTCACCACAGTAACATTTATTGTATTATAATTACAATTTTTATTCATAAGTTTTGTTCTTTGACAACTTCACAAATGTATATGATGCATTTAGATTACTCCCCATGACGTTTTCCCCTCTTCAATCCCTCCTAGACCCCTTTCATGCCTAGGAGTCTCTTTTGCATATTCATCACTTCTTGTTTTGTTCCCCCTGAGTTTAATCTGGGTCTTGTACATGTACATGGCTATGAGTTAGGAACTGACCATGAGTACTGCAAGATATGTTGTTTAGCATATGGTTTTACAATATCAAAATGTGTCCTGTGTCACCTTTAAGATTTAGTGCCTGCCACTTTATAGGAGTATAGGAAATGGAACAATTTCTTTGTTTTTATAAAGATAAAGTATGCTCACTATAATTATGTCAAAAAATGTTCAAAGAAGTTTATGCATACAAAATGCAACAAATTGAAAACATTTCCTAAAGATGAGCAAAAGTTCAAATGTCTATTTTATCTTTATATATATCAATATTCATACCTTGAAATTACTGATATTCCTTCAATGATTGAGGTTCTTAAAAATATATACATATATCTATATCTATCTATCTATCTATATCTATCTATCTATCTATATCTATCTATCTATCTCTCTCTCTTTCTGTGTGTGTGTGTGTGTGTGTGTGTGTGTGTGTGTGTGTGTGTACATTTTGTGGGTTTTGAAACTGTTTCTTGGGTAATTTCTCAAAGCAGTTTGGATCCTATTAACTTAGAAAGATATAGATTTTTGTTGAATTGTATGTGATTTTAAATATCCATATTTGTAGGTATTTACTCATCTTTGATGGGTGTTTGGAATCATAGTCTAGAATGTAGGTCTGCTCTCAGGTGAATTCTGCCATTCCAGACTAGGGGGATACTACATTGATAAAGGAAAAATGCTGGTTCTGATTGTACTTTTTGTAATACCTAAATACAATAAACAATCAAAAAATCAAATTTGATGCTTGTTTCCACTTGGTATTTTGTTGAATATGCAAATTGCCACTATTTTGTGTTTTCAGAAATAATATTAGTTACTATAAAATAACTTTTATATTATGGAATATTACACTTAAAAATATTACATATTTTTAGCAACATTAGCTACCTTTTATCTCTAAGGTTCTTATTCAAGCTCAGCTTGAATTCCTCAAGCATATGCACTCAGAAACCTGTAATGGTACTGCAGCTCATCTTAAATCTTATCTCATAATTTTTTGTTTGTTTGTTTTTTGTTTTTAGAGACTGGGTTTCTCTGTGGCTTTGGAGGCTGTCCTGGAACTAGCTCTTGTAGAACTCAGAGAGATCCACCTGCCTCGGCCTCTTTAGTGCTGAGATTAAAGGCGTGTGCCACCACCACAGTTCTTTCTTATATTTTTTAATTGTGATCTATTTCCCTTAACCATCAACAAAAATATAAATAATTAGAAGCAGAATAATTTGCTATTATAAAATATTGATTTGTCCAAAGAGATAGTAAGTTAAATCTACCATCAATATTAATGTAACTTAAAGCATGTTTTATGCATTTTCTGAAAACAGCTACAGTTGGTTATTATACTCATAAAGCAGAATGGCCAGCCTTATTGAGAAGGATTAAAAAAAAAGGTAAACTTTTTCATGATCTGAACAGTTCTCATATTTTTATTTTGTGCACAGAGCTCACATTGGTCGTGATGTTGCTAGCATGCTTGGTTTGTCATATGAGTTTTAAAGCATGAATTTATATTTTGGTGACAGATATTCCACATGACATATGACCTCGCTAGTGCAGTGGTGAGGATCTTCAATCTCATTGGCATGATGCTGCTCCTGTGTCACTGGGATGGCTGTCTTCAGTTCCTGGTTCCCCTGCTCCAGGACTTCCCACCTGATTGCTGGGTTTCTCTAAACGAAATGGTTGTAAGTAACTCATGACATTTATTTTTTGAATTTTCATATTTGTTCTAAAAACTTCAAAGTATTTCTGCTAGCATAGTTTGCTTTTTCTTCCATAAGGGCTTTGCTTCCAGGGATGTGGAATAAGATGACCCAGACACTTTAGCATAAAACCTTACTCTTGTATTCCTGGGAATGTAAACGCTGCTGCATCTACTTTTTATAAATTTTGCTTCAAATACTGAGATATATTTTATATAAGTGATAGAAACACACATACATATGTATGATACAATGTGCTTTCAAATATTCTATATTTGTGAATTAGGTATGTATGAAGTTCAAGGACATCTTAGTATGTTTTGTGTTATAATAAGGAAAAATAATGGGAAAGATAAATTTTTATCTTTATTAGCAATATATGTACATGTTTTTAAATTTTAAAATATGACTTTATTTAACCAAGCATATTAATATAAAATTTTAAGATAATATGCACTTACATGAGATCTCACATTCAATTGGATCTGTCCTTCATTTCCTTCACATCTCCTTAAATATTACTTCCTCAGAAACTTCTTCTGAAAACCTTAGTTTAAACCATATATCTCTCTCCTCTTTCATATTTAATTATAAGCACATTTAGTTTTTGGTATCCCCCACACATACATATTCACAAACGTATACATTTTTTGGCCTTCACTCCCAAATTCACGTTCAAAGACATGTTTTTCTTTGTCCTCAGTGCTAACCAAGCCTGTTTGGGATGTTACATAAAACTATTAGACTGGGCAATTTATTAAAGACATAAATTTATTTCTCATGATTCAGGATTCTGGGAGGCTCAAGACCAGAGTACTTCCCTATTCAGTCTCCAGTTGCAAAATGGCAGTTTGTGTCTGAATCTCCTAGAGAAAAGGAAACATATTTCTACACGGGAGAAGATAATATTTTCATGAGGCTGTCCCCTCATGACTTACCCAACTTCCATTTAATTTCCATTTGCCAACCTTGTCAAGTCTTGAATTAAATTTGTAAAAAGCAAATTTGGGGAAACACATTAGAACAACAGAAAGTGCCTAAGAAAGTGCCTGACACGTCATCAAAACTTAGTGAATATTCTTTATTAACATTTATATGGAATAATACAAGAAATTTGTATGGCTTGGATCACTTTTTAAATTTCCCATGCTGCCTTCATCTGTGTGTTTAGTTCTCTTTGAGGAAACGAAATAGATAGCAGAGGCAGGAATGAAGATACTATCTGGGGGAGGAAGAGACTTTACTCTCTTCAGGCTGCTGATGGAGTGTAGAGTAGAAAAGATGAAAACTGATGTTGTAGATGATTTGACAAATCATCTTTTAAATTTTTTCTAGTTATGTTCCAGAAAAACTGCAGTTTCTATCATTGAAAAAGTAAAAGAAATATTTTTCAGTATCTAAAAATGTACATAATTTGTATAATCATATTACATGGGCAATATGTAGCTCTGAGCACACTTTGTAAGCATTTTATGTTTTTTTTTCTTTAAGCATGACAACATGCCAGAGACAGAAGCAGAGAGGCAGAGACAGAGAGATAGAGAGACAGAGAAAGTGAAACAGAAAAACAGAGAGAGGCAGAGACAGAGAAACAGAGAGAGGCAGAGGGGTATTACAGGTATCAGTGTATGTTGTGTTGTGTTTAAAGTAATGTGGTTAAAAATGTCAACACTCATTATCTCCTCTTTTATATAAAATAACCTTAGAAAGCTGCAAAACACTTCTTTGTCTTTTTTGTTTATTTGTTTTTTTTCAGAAAATTGGAATTTTCAAAAATTATGTCAATAGGCTGTTACTCAGAATACAGAGTCATAGGTACAGTTCATGTGTATCTGACTCCCAAATGTCTATTCTAAATCACACTGGAATACCTTTGACACAAGATTATATAGAACAGTTAAGAATGATGATCAAAAAAGCAACATTAATCACAACAGTAACTGTTCTAATTCTGTGTTTGATTCCTGATACTAAAAGTAAAGTAAAATTTAAAAAAAAGACCGAATTAATGGTTTTCTCTATTTGTGCAAAAATCTAATTTGAAAATAAAAACTTGAGACTAGAGATCAAGTTGTATATAAGGCACATGAGCCCTTCATAAACATGGCATGATAAGTATGCTGTGATATTTGTCTTTGACACTATATTAATTGCATGCCCTTAAGTATTATTTAGAACTGCATACATATTAAAACTCTGTACCCAAATTTGCTATATATTCTGACCTTTATATCTTTATATCCAGTTAGCTAGTTATTAGCATATAACCTATGATTAGAAATTCCTGTTCCAGTCTTTGATTAGACATTTGAAGTTACCACCATAACTGTGCTATACATTTTTACTGTTAAATATAATATTTTTGATTTAATATAGTGATTTCTATGCTAACTTTCTCTAATTTATATTTTGTGCCATGAAAATAAGCTTGATTTCTGTCAGCTAATTTCTTTGTTCATGAATTTATAAATTTTAAGGTAGTTCTTATAACACTATATTGAAGAAGTCAATACATGAACTTAGTGTGTGACTGAAAATGAAGACAAAGGAGAATCTGACTCGGGAGATGAAGCAAGAACAGGATCCATCTTGTTAGACATTTGTAATATTTGCTTTTATTCCATTTATGAACCAAATTTGAATTACAAAATCCTGTCTGGATTAAGATCTTAAGTTTGGCAGATAATTAATGACTAAGAAAATGTGTTACATTCCCATAATATCTTGTGGTTGTGCTTGCTTGTAGAAAGCTCTGAGAATATATTAATTTATTATAAAATTTGTAATTGTATCCGATTAATTTTAAGAATATGTCAAGATAAGACCATAGTACAATTTAAATTGCTTATTAATTACCTGAATTGAAAATAGTTTCACACCAAATGAAATGTCATTATGACACGAATATCTTACAGTGAAACATTACTTTTCTAGAACAAGATTTTCCATGATCACGGCTGTAGGATTATATTTAGGCAGTCCTATGGTCTTTCAGATGATAACACTTTGGTTATCATTGCAAAGGCCTTAATGTTAGCATCTTAGTACTCCAAAATGTTCCATGCTCTCCACATATGGAGTTTGGACTTACTTTTCTAACTGGAACATGGTATACAAAAAAGTGTTATATCACATAAAGTTAGTTTATGGATGTAATATTCAAATAATCCATATAATCAGATGTGGATAAATGACATGTTAAATGATGTGCAACATTTCTGATACAGTAAAATGGAGACTGTATTAGAAACTTGAGGTACACATCAAACAGTGCTGATGTAATGAATCTTGCCCTAGAAAAATCCAATCACACATCATAGAAGTATATTTATAATGGAGTAAGTTACTCCATTACAGCAAATATTCTGAATCAAATATATTTACACTAAATTGTGTTTGTTTTATTATTTTAGTAGAATTTGATTTAAAAATTTCATTTAGAAAGCCATATGACATTATTTTTAAATAATTTTTTATTTTATTTTTTAAATTTAAATTTTTAATGATTTTTATTTTCTTTTTTTTTTTTTAGTTCAAATTAGGAACAAGTTTGTTTCACATATCAATTCCTTCTCCCTCTCCATCCCCTCACCCCCACCTCTCCTCCCCCACCCCGGACCTACCCCCACCCCATCCACCCTCCAATCCCCAGGCCGGGTAGGGCCCTCAATGGGGGCTCCCAAAAGTCCATCACATCATCCTGGTCCGGGCCTAGGCCCTTCCCCATTTGTCCAGGGCAAGAGTGCATCCCTTCACCTGGGATGGGCTCTCAAAACCCCTTCTTACACCAGGGAAAAATACTAATCCATTACCAGGGGCCCCATAGAGTGCAGAGCCCTCCTTATTGCCATCCATGTTCAGGGGTCTGGATTAGTCCTGTACTGGCCTTCCAGACAGCAGTCTGGGGTCCATGTGCTCCCCCTTGTTCAGGCCAGCTGTTTCTGTGGGTTTCACCAGCCTGGTACCGACCCCTTTGATCTTCATTCCTACCTCTCTGCAACTAAGTTACAGAGTTCAGATCAGTGTATATCTGCTTCCATCAGCCACTGGATGAGGGTTCTAGGATGGCTTAAAAAGTAGTCATCAATCTCATCTTAGGTGAAGGGCATTTAGGTTATCCTCTCCACCATTGCCTGGATTGTCAGTTCGTGTCATCCTAATAGATCTCTGGAAATTTCCCTAGTGCCAGATCTCTCTTCGGACCTACAATGGCTCCCTCTAATATGTTATCTCTCATCCTGCTCTCCTCTATTCTTCCCCCAACTCAATATTTTCGCTCCTCTATTTCCTTCTCTCCTCTCCTGTTCTCCTCCTCTCATTCCCTCTCCCCTATGCTCATGCTCCCAATTAGCTCAGGAGTTCCTGCCCCTTCCCATTCCTGGGGTCCGTGCATTTTTCCCTTAGAGTCCTTCATGTTTCCTAGTTTCTTTGGTGAAGAGGACTGCAGCCTGGTAATCCTTTGCTCTATGTCTAAAATTCATATATGATTGAGTACATACCATGTTTGTCTTTTTGTGGCTGGGTTACCTCACTCCGGATGGATTCTTCTAGTTCCATCCATTTGCCTGTGAATTGCAAGATTCCTTTGCTTTTTTCCTGCTGAGTAGTAAGTCCTCCATTGTGTAAATGTACCACATTTTCTCTATCCATTCTTCAGTCTAAGGGCATCTAGGTTGCTTCCAGGTTAATTATATGTACCAATCCCATTTCCCCCTACCCTCTCCAACTCTCCTCATCTTTCCTCCCCACTACTGCACCCCCATTTTATCAGAGAGGGTGAGGCCTCCCATGGGGAATCAACAAAGTCTCTCATATCACACTGAGGCAGGACCAAGGTTCTCCCCCATCCCAGGATGAGCAAGGTATCTCTCCATAGGGAACGGGCTCTAAAAAGCTACTTCATGCACTAGGGTAAACACTGGTCCCATTGTCAGTGGCAGTCCAATGCAGATTCTCAGGTGTCAGCCTGGAGTCAGTGACCT